CGCTTTGTGGAATATATTACGATTCTTAATAATTTTTGTATTCTTGGACTTCAGGCCTCCATCCTAAGGAAGTCGGAAATGTAAGCCAAGATTTATTCAGTGTAGCATTAATTATAAAAGCTGGAATAGCTCAAATATCAAAAATGCATGACTGCCTAAATTAGTATATATGCCTTTAAAAATATTTACAAAGAATTTTTAATGGTGTGCTAGAAATCTTATGAGAAGTGGGAAAAAAAGCAGAATGCAAAACTGTATTCAACCAAAGCCAAAAAATAAATAAATAAAAGGCTGCTTAAAGCCCCATGTATGTCAGAACTTCCTATAAGGCATTAAAACACAGGTCTTCATTTTAGTTCTAAGACTCTAACCAGTCCTTGGTTATCCTACGGTCAGAAGTCTGGGTTCTTTCCTATGACGATTGTTTTCTGTCAAAATTTCCTCTAATAAAAATTAGACTCTGTAATACCACATCTAAGTGCTTGACAAAGGAACAGATAAACAGCAGACTAAAAATGGAGATTGTGCCCCAGAGGCAACAGGGAGTAGTTATTCCCATGGGCCTGAACCCCAAACCAAGTCTCCGTATAAGCCTACCTCGGTGATTGAATAGCCCTGGTAAGTGGTAGACTTCCACCTTGAAGATCTCATCTCATCAGCTTGCCCCAATTGCATGAGGAAATTTAGACTGTCATACTGATAGAAGTCCTGCCTTAATGGAGAAACCACATTCATGCTCAGGCAGTCATTTCTTATGATTCCAGGCAGGCTTTCTTGCATTTACAATAAATACTTATTGAATAAGATTAGGAACTTCAAAGAGCCCTGGTGGCACAATGAGGTTAACATTGGGCTGCTAACCACAAGGTTAATGGTCCAAACCCACCAGCCACTCCATGGCAGACAAGTAGACTATCTGCTCCCAAAAAGATTTGCAATCTCAGAATCCCTAAGGAACAGTTCTTGCCTGTCTGATCGGGTCACAATTGAGTTGGAATCAACTAGATGACAGTGGGTTCTTTTGGTTTTAGGGGCCTTAGCCTTGCAGTCACAGGTCCTGTCTTCCAGGGTTTGACAATTTGTACCTTGCAAAATGTATTTATAAGTGTACAAGCATTCAACTTTTGACATTCGTCTCTGTAACTATGAACATAGTCTATTCTTGGGGCCTGCAGCCCTGAAAATGCAAAAGAAGGATTGTGACAATCTTTTCCTCAGCATTCTGGTCACATGCAGGCAGATTGAAGGGGATATCAAACAGAAAAGGTGGTAAAGGATGTGAAAATACCTTTGTGATGGGGAAAAGGTGGGAGGTCGACAAGCAAGGCCTTTAGATGCTTTGGGAAAGCCTTGGCATGGCCTCCCACCTGTGTTCTACAGCTCACATCCTTCCAGTACTCTTCTTCCTCTCCAGTTCAGGTATGCAACCCAGTTTCCCTGTGGCTCTCTTCTAGCCACGCCCACCAGGTGGCATCTTTCCCACCCTTCCTTTGAAGCAGCCTTATCTGGAGTGCTCGGGGATATGTAGGTGATTTTATAAAGATAGGGTTTTGGTGGTCACAAGGCTGGTAATCTCCCCAATGTTGTTTAGATGTTTTTTTGTTTTTTTTTTTAAGCTGTATTTTGAGATTACATTTTGACCCAAGTCTGAGGAGGTACATAGACTGGCTTGGAAGCAGGCCTCATCCATTTTTAAATGGAAAATGTAGGATGAGGGGCAAAGTGTGGCCAAATAATGTTCCATTTTTTAGTTTGCTTTGGGGATAGTGTAATAAATGTATCATTTTCTTCAAGGGGATTTTTGTTGGCTGTTTCTAATCCCAAGCCAGATCCTGATGGAGCATCTTGGGTGACCTCCCACACTCCCTCGTCCTCCCGTCCAGTGCTGGTATCTGCAAGAAATACAAGCTTAATAAATGTTATTCTCAAAGTAAATTAAGAGTGAGAATTAGCATTTTTGCATACCAAACATTTGCCCTGAGTCCTCTATGTTCACCTGGATGAATTGTTTCAGGGCTTAAGCTGCAAACACAGTTTAAGCAGCTTATTCTTGGCCTGGAGTCCTGGTGTGGCGCTGTGAGTTAATGCGCTGGACTGCAAGGTTGGCGGTTCAAGCTCACTAGTTCTTGTTGTTGTTGTTATGTGCCATGGAGTCAGTTCCGACTCATTAGAAACCCAATATAGGGTCACTATGAGTCGGAACTGACTTGATAGCACTTTACAACAATGATTCTTGACCTACGAAGCCCTGGTGATGCCATGGTTAAGCATTCAGCTGCTAACTGAAAGATACAGTGGTCCAAATCCCCAGCCCTTCTGCTTTCATAAAGATTGTTGTTGTTGTTAAGTGCCATTGAGTCTATTCCAACTCATAGCAACCCTTTATAGGGTTTCCAAGGAGTGGCTGTTAAACTTGAACTGCGGATCTTACGGTTAAAGCCAACCTTGCAGTCCAGCACATTAACCCACAGCAACAACATTGGAAACCCAATGGCGCAATTCTACTGTGCTCTGGAAGGTCACTTGGAGTTGGAATGGACTTGATTTTGGGGGGTTTCTTCATGCTCTGCTCGGTGGTGACTAGGAGATTGATCAACCTCCTAGATTTTTTTTTTTTTTTTAAACAAAAAATTGCCTTTGCACAGCACTATCTAGAGTGAACATGCCTTTGAACTGTAACCTCCAAATCTTTGGGGCTTCCAAGTGTGCCTGACCAAGCTGCTGCCAGGAGGCCCATGATGGCCCAGGAAGGGGTTGCACTAGCCCGGGCCTTTCATCCTGCAGCCCTGAGATTCTCCAGGTGAGCACGCATCAAAGCAGGGAGGGTCCCCGTGCTCCCATCTAGACGAATCTGAGCACACATACCCCTCGGGGGCTGGTGAATGTGCTGGATAATGCAGCAAAAGCCAAATCAAGGAACACGAGGCCCCATTGTTGGTCTCCCTCATTTTTCAGTGCTGTTCTTGGGCCCCTTCTACATCCAGGAAAGAATTTATTAAAAAAAAGACTTGGCTGGCACCTGCCAGAAGACACAGCACCTACTCTTAACCCTGGAGTCCTCGAGCTCTGGGCCCCCAAAGAACTTTATGGAGGAAAGTGAGGCAACTTTTACTAGTCTGTGCCAACCCTCTGGCTGGAGGGGACAACTGGACCATTTTCTAGATCTCGCAGGACAGCCTCAACTGAGAGGCCAAGCCTGCAGAAACTAGCAGGTACCCTCATCGTAGCCAGTTAGACTACCTCTTACAGGTGGGGAAACTGAGGCAGGGACTTGCCCACTGTTGGCAGCTTGCTAGAGGCAGAGCTGTGAATAGCTTTAGGATTTACACAGGATTCCTAGTGCAGTATGCTGGTCAGGAGATGAGGAAGGGTGGGCAATCAGAGAGGACACCTAAAATACACTGGACATCGGTACAACCAGGAGGAGTGCCTGCAGGACATGGACAGCTTCTGAGGCACGAGGTTGTTAAACTACTTAAGGACCTTACGGGTTATATTGAAACTGTTTGGGTTTTGTTTGCCCTGCCCTGTCTACAAAGCACAGGAATTGGTTTGTTGTATGGGATAAGACTGCCCTCTAGTGGGCTGGTGGAGCCATTGCCCTAGTCAGGTTCTTAGTATGTTACTGTTGTATGTATGTTACTGTTGCGTTCAAAGTTGTTTTCTTACACTAATCCAATGTAGAGCTATTACTCCAGTGGAAGAAATTCTCATTTGATCCTTTCTCAATCACTCTGGACTACAACGACATTGTTGACTTCTAAGGAGTAGTCAGCATTTACTTATTTTATTGGAGAATGAGTCCCCCCTACCCTCTCAATGTTAGAGGTATCTTCTCTAACAAGGTGGTTGTTGTTAAGTGCTTTTCATTCTGTTCTGATTCATAACCACCCTATATAGGATTTCCCATGAGCAGCTGGTGAATGTGACCCACCAACCTTGCGGTTCAAATTAAACTTGCTATCCACTGCTTATCCTTCAGTGCCACACCAGAACTGTTGTTATTAGGTGACATTATGTTGATTTCACCTCATAGCAACCTGTATACAACAGAACACAATACTGCCTGGTCCTGAATCATCCTTACAAGATACAGGTTGGGATGGTTTTATACCTTGGGTCTTGTGTTTCCTCTTAGCAGCACATGAAATTAGATAAGAGGAGTCCTCCCCTGGCTCTCCCCAAAATAATCCCTTCACATCTCATTCATTGGTTTTCTAAATCATTCTCATCTGAGCTCCCTGATGAATCATCCCCAAAGTTGTTGAGTCATCAGAAGCCCCAGAAAATGTCAAGAACATACTTTCCTGGGCGTGACTCCAGACCTGCTGAATCAATCTCTGTGGTTGGAGCCAGGAAATCTTCTTTAAAAACTCTAAAGTGGGTTTTGATGCTCAGCCAGGTTCGGCAGCCCACTGCACTGAATCTCCTCTTAACAGTGATTTCTCATTGCTCTCACCCTGAAAAAGTCTCCAGAGGTCTTCCAGCTTTATTAAAATTGAACTACTTTACAATTTCATTCACATCTATACACTGCTACCTTCTAGCAGCAGCAGTGGGGGCAGAGGAAGGAGGAAGACTCACAAGGAGGAGCCAAAGGCATTTGCTTTGATTGCCAATGGCTCTGTGTTCCTAGCAGAAAGCACTGAGACCAGTCCCTCTCTTCTGACTGGGCAGGGTGTGGAGCTGCAGTTTCTGCTCTTTGGCCTGAAGAGAGAGATGTCTGCCTATGCTAGTGACTTGTTTGCTCATATTCCAAGTCTGTTGATCCTTAGGGTGACCATATCTAAGTTGTCATTCGACCTTTTGCTACCAAGGTTGGGTCCCTTGGCCAAAGTCACACAAGTAGATAACTGTCAGTCCCTGCATTTGAATCTAAGCAGGTCTGGTCTCTGAGGGCAACTTTGACAAGTCAGAAGACCAGAGCAGCTGTGGCTCTTTTTATTTTTGTTTTCAATGGTGGTTAATACATAAAGTCAATTGCTCTCTCCATCTACCAGGCCAAGAGAGCAGTACAGCGAGGAGCCACTGCAGTCATCTTTGATGTGTCTGAAAACCCAGAAGCTATTGATCAGGTAACTAACTGCCTCAGACCCCACGAGGGCCACACTCCACCTGGGAAAGATGTCACAGTTGTATCACAATTATCTCGGGGACTTGGTGAAACACCCACACATAAGCCAAAAGTGGTGAACGGAGAGGAGCTTAGAGCCAGGGCGTATGGGGCGGATGCACATTTTACAAAGACCTTCCTTGAGCCGTCAGCCTGCCCTGTCCATCCTGAAAACTGGCACTGTCCTCAGGCTGCTCTGGGGCCTTGCCCCTCAGGGAGCTCCAAGACTCTAAAGCCTAAAGAATTGGAGGCTTTGCAAATGGGGAATTAGTGTTCTTTTCTTCTTGTCTTTCTTCTTCTGTCCTGATTCTTAAAAGTTAAAAAGCCTTCTAACCAGAGCCCACTCTCTCCTCTTTAGCTAAACCAGGGCTCTGAAGACCCGCTCAAGAGACCAGTGGTCTATGTGAAGGGCGCAGATGCCATCAAGCTGATGAACATTGTCAACAAGCAGAAAGTGGCCCGAGCAAGGATTCAGCACCGCCCTCCTCGAGTGAGCCTCAGCACTGGCTGGCAGGGCCCCCACCCCCACCCTAGTGCCATTGTTTCCTGTGGGCTTTGTGATGCGGGCCTGTCTCTCCTTTCTTTGTGAAGAGGCAGAGGAGGAATTTCACGTGTGTGATGGGCTGCTAACCACAAGGGCAACAGTTCTGTGGGAGAAACATGGAGGCAGTTAGCTCCTGTAAAGACTGGCAGCCGTGGAAACCCTTAGGAGCAGTTCTACTCTGTCTTCCAGGGTCACTGCAAGTTGGAATCCACTGAACAGCAGTAGGTTTGTTTGCTTTATCAGAAATAGAGGAGCTTTGGTGGCACACAGTTAAATGCTTGGTTGCTAACTAAAAGATTGACGGTTCAAACCCACCCAGCTGCTCCTGGTAAGTCTACTCCTGTACAGACTACAGTCTAGAAGACCCTATGGGGCAGCTCTACTCAGTCAAGTGGAGTTACCATTGTTTGGAACCAACTTGAAGGCACCGAACAACAACCACCAGAAATAAAGGAGTAATGCTGATGGCTATGGTTTCTTCCACTCAGTGTTCCTTCTGATAATCTCACTTCCATCCCATCTCCCTGATCAGAAAGGCAGACTGAAGGAGGATCAAAGGGTCAGAATGCCCAAACCCTTAGCTTCTCCATCCCCCTCCTTCCATATGACCTCCAAACTCGAATCTCAGCTGCCATTGAGTCCATTCCAATTCATAGCAACCCAACAGGGCAGAGTAGAACTGCCACATAGAGTCGTTTGGAAGGCTATAACCTTTATGGGGACAGACAGCCTCAGTTTTCTTCCACAGAGCTGCTGATGGGTTCTAACCACCTGCTGTCTGATCTTTCAGTTGGCAGCCCGGTACTTAACCCACTGCACTACCAGGTCTCCATATGGCCTAGACTAGAGAAAAGGGAAGGCTTATCTTATTGAAATTCCCCTGTCTTACACACACTGGGATCTGAAAAAGTTAGCTTTCAACTGGGATTGAATTTCACAACCTCCAGTGGCCAAGAATACAGTTTCGACAGCTCTTAAGTGTGTGTGTCTAAGGGACAATGTTGGCTAGGAACTTTTGTTGGGACAGGTGCACGCCGCCCCTGCCCCCCGTGCTTTATTTCATTTCCTCCCCACAAACAGTGGAGTAGTTGCACTCTGAAGGATTCATGGGCACCAAACAACTGGATCAACGCAGCATTCAGTTAACAGAGTGCTCATCCTCTTTGCTAAATGCACATCCTCTATGAGGTAACATCACAGTGTTAGGAGTCTGTGCTGTGAGGCAAAAGTAAGTCCTGAAACTCCAGGGATGCTGGCTTCTGGAAGGAAAAAAGAGTGCTTCAGGACCCGTGACTCATTAGACTGGAAGCTGATAGTTGTGGAAACAGCAGCTGACAATTTTCAGAGTTGTTGTAAACCATTAATTATACATGGCTAGTAATCATTGTTCCCTTAAAACATGACACTCACTCCTTTGTCCTCTGAATATGCTATTTGTATTTATTTGGGGGAGACCTTGCTTAACCGGCTGCAGCGTATTTCACACTCTTCCATGGGAAGTCAACCTGTATGAACAGAATTCCCTGGTCTATTGAGAGGCTTGGCTGAAATAGCTACAGGTCACACCGCAGGTCCCAACTGGGCCTGCCTGGACAGCACACTGGGTGCCTGCTGGTAAAGCCAAGGTGCAGTGGCGTGCTGACCACCTCCTACCCAGCACTGACATAGCCCCTGGAGCCCCATCACTAGGCTGAAGAGAGGCCGGAACTAATTGTGTCTGTGTTCTGTTGTAGCAACCCACCGAATACTTCGACATGGGAATTTTCCTGGCCTTCTTTGTGGTGGTCTCCTTAGTCTGCCTCATCCTCCTTGTCAAAATCAAGCTGAAGCAGCGACGCAGTCAGGTAACCTGTCAGCGCAGCCTCCCTGTATCACCGTGATGGGTGAAAGTGAAGCTCTTACCTGCCTAGTGCTCAATAGTCCTGCCATTGAACCTCATGGCCATGGACACTACTCTCCAGAGCCTGTTCCCAGGGCCCCAAAGCAGCAAAACTAGAGGAAACCAAGAACAGAATTTACAGCACCGTGCTGTCTATTCTAGAAGGACCTTTCCTAGAAAGGCTAAGTTAGCTGCAGGGCTATTCCCGCATTTCCAAAGGAATGGCTACATGTCGGTGTGGAGCTCCAGATCCTTGTTCCTCCAACAGCATCAGTGTCACATAGGAGCATACTGCTAGAAATGCAGAATCTCAGGCCCAGATGGGAGGTGTCACACACTTACATGCAGTAGATGTCGGGGTGAGGCACAGATTAGCAGGAAGTGCGATTCTCAAACATACCACTGTGACGTCTCAGGAGAGAGATGGTTGACCATGGCAGGAAGTCTCTGAAAAGGAGACACAAGAGTCGAATGGCTACCATGGACAGGACCTGAGCTAGGGGCTAAACACTCACACCTTCCATGATGGAAACCAGGTTCAATCCCTGGTCAAGACTCTTCAAGCACAGTGTTAATGCTATGAAGCTGAACAATTTCAGCAGCACTTCCAGGCTAAGATGGACTAAGAAGAAAAAGGTCTGGAGATCTGCTTTCAAAAATCACCTAATACAAACATTAAGGATCCCAACCTTCTAATCCCATTGTGCATATTGGGATTTGGGGAGGGTGGGGGACATGGGGGTACTGACTAAGCCACAGCTGACGGTCATACACATTATCACATTTATCCTCACAACTCCTTCAGTGTGAACAGGAAGACCCTTGACGTACAAAGGGGCTTCAAACGGTTTGTGGAAAAATATAATTAAAAGGTAATGGAAAATTTTGCGAAGCCCCCTCATACTGGGTGACTAACTCGAGGTCACACGCAGTTGGGAAGCAGTGAGGCTGACTGTTGAAGCCGACCGTTGCCAGGCCTGCTGTGTAGAAAGGGCCTGGAGCGTGGATACTGTGGGGTGGGGGGCTGTAGTGTCTGTGCTGGTGGCAGACTGAACCGTTAGTGATTTCCCACAAGTCTTTTCTGGCCTGGGAGGGATTGGTGTGTGCTGTGCACTAAGTGCCAAGTAATGAGCAGACCCTAACCCAGGCCACTTTCTGCCTTGCAGAATTCCATGAACAGACTGGCCGTGCAGGCTCTGGAGAAGATGGAAACCCGAAAGTTCAACTCCAAGAGCAAGGGGCGCCGGGAAGGAAGCTGTGGGGCCCTGGACACGCTCAGTAGCAGCTCCACATCTGACTGCGCCATTTGTCTGGAAAAGTACATTGACGGAGAGGTAAGGACGCAGATTGAGACACCCTGGCTGGGGTGAGAACAGGTCAGCAGAGGTACCCTGTCTCTGGAAGTGGGTGGCCACTATACAGAGAAATACTCCCTGAAGACCTAGCTAAACCTTGGCGATTTCAGATAGCTATCAAGGTGATTCCCACTCACACCACCCATGGGTGTCTTTGTAGAACTGCACTCCATAGAAGCTGGTCAGAAATAGGCAGTAGGCTGGAGAAGCGGTGTGGTCTCCAGAACATTCCCACATGGTGATTTTGGGTTTCAGTTACTTTTGTGAAAACTCGGGGACTTGACTGTCCTGATACAAACTTCTCCTGACAAGTTTTGTGGGGTATTTGGTGTTTTTTCCTTTATAAAGACACAAAAACTTTGTGTCCCTTTTTTTTTTAATTCTGGCTTTTTCTTTGGAAATTTTCAAACCTTCAGAGAAGTTTTTCAAACCTCACTTTTCAAACCTCACTTGCTTAATCCAGGGAAACCTCTGGATAGATAAATGCCTATGAGGGGACTTCAAAAATTCATAAAGAATTCCTTTGTCTTTTCATCCCACTTTTCTGTGAACTCTCCAAACCACCCCCCTCCCTCACATATACACACACACACATTTGGGGCTGGGCGAGAGAGGCTGGCAAACATTTTGGGAATTAGTAGCCAACATTTTGATAACCCTTTGGTGAAAATATTCCACTGCCATGTAGACACTTAAATGAAAACTGGCTTTAGAATAATGGAGGTGCCCATAGGTGGTCCCAGTGGCTATGCACTCAGATACTAACTAAATGGTGGTGGTTTGAATCCATCCAGAGGTGCCTGCGAAGACATGCCAGGCGACTTACTTTTAAAAAATTATATCTGGAGCACATTGGGGTCACCATGTGTCAGAATCGATTAGATGATAGCTTGTGTTTTGGATTTGGTTTTAAGAAAATGGTGTCTTGTGTGGATGTCAGCTCTAATTCTGACCCCAGCATGCTCTTTGTGCTCACAAGCAAGCGAGTCTATTCTCTTTGCCTACCTTGTGCCATGGGCCTTGAGATTGACCTGCACTGCAGATGGTCACCAAGGTGACATGGAAAGCCCAGTCAGGCCCAACATTGGGCATCAGTGTGTATGCCACTGTGGCACACTGGCCCAGGGAATGAAAACCAATGTAAAATTGGCACATGGGGAGTACGCATGGGCTCAGGAGTTGCCGAGGTGGTACTACATCAGCAAGCCCAGCCCCTTGTCTCCAGACAGGCTGATTTTGTCAGAGACCATAAGCCTCTAGCCTGAGTGCATGGCTCAGTGAAGGAGCAGGACATGAGAGCGCTACCCCTTGAACTCATGTTCTTTGGGGTACCTGGGAGCAGCTACTATCCCAGAAATACAGAAGATCTTAGGGTATCACTAGCTCTTTCTCCACAGCCCGTAAGTCTCCTGTGCTCACTAACACCTAACTTTGGTCTTCTCGCCCAGTGGCGGCATCTGTATGGAAGGGTCCTATTTCCCTACGCTCCTCCTCCCTTAAAACTGAGGGTTATGCTCAGGGCTGCCTGCTGGATAGTTCTCTACTTCCTAGAGCCCATCTACGGAGCCCTAGTGATGCAATTGGTTAAGCACTTGGCTGCTAACCTGAATATTGGCAGTTAGAACCTACCAGCTGCTCTACAAGGGGAAGCTGAGGCAGTCAATTTCAGTAAAGGCTGACAGACTTGGTTGGATGAGGGTTCATCTGTGAGTGCTGCCTCCAGGGAACTGAGCTGACCTGTAGCTGAACACAGAAACAAAAACTACCCAGAGATGAGGAGGGCACTCTGGGATGGCAGCAAACTGATCAGGATTCCTCAGTCCACTCAAGTTCCAAAGGAGAGCTGCTCTCTGGCCATGCCATCCTCTCAGGCTGTGTCCTCTCCCTTCCCAGGAGCTGCGGGTTATCCCCTGTACTCACCGATTCCACAAGAAGTGCGTGGACCCGTGGCTGCTGCAGCACCACACCTGCCCCCACTGTCGGCACAACATCATAGGTAATTATTGGGGTGCTGGAGCATCTCGTCAACTGAGGACTGGGTGCTGCAGACTCACAAGGAAAGTTTCCCCCAAGCTGTCTTCCAGGCTTGGAGGCATAGAGGCCAAACACTTGGAGGTTGGCCACTGACATTTTAGGTGAGCTGGACCTTGAAAATCGCCCTGAGTTGGGCTTTCATATGAGCCAGCTTCACAGACCTCAGGCATTTGACCTTGAAGGGTCTGAGGGTCACAGAGATGAGGAGTGTGACGTGCTAGGCATGTGGTACTGTTTCTGCATCACTGTGCTGTTAGACGAGTCCTAACTCTCTGTCCTCTTGCCGCTCTGCATAGTCCTGGTGCAGAGGACTGGGGAGGAGGGACGTGTACCTCGGCCCACAGGCAGGGTCATAAGATGGGGCATCATGGCACGTGGCCAAGCCTCTGACTTGACTCTCTGCCTTCATTTGTCCTTCTGCCCCCTGACACCGGTGGTGTGCTCAGCCCTGCTTGCTTTGCCTCCTCTCCCCAGAACAAAAGGGAAACCCCAGTGCCGTGTGTGTGGAGACGAGCAACCTTTCACGCAGCCGGCAGCGAGTCATCCTGCCAGTCCATTACCCCGGCCGTGTGCACAGGACCAACGCCATCCCCACCTACCCCACGAGGACAACCATAGACTCGCGAGGGAACCCTGTCACAATGCTGGCCGTGGACCGGCACGGAGAGCAGGGCCTCTATTCATCGCAGACCTCCGCCTACATCCGCAGCTACCCTGCCCTCCACCTGGACCACACCCTGCCCGCCCACCGCTGCGGCATGGATCACCGGGCCTACTCACCAGCCCACCCCTTCCGCAGGCCCAAGTTTAGCGGCCGAAGCTTCTCCAAGGCAGCTTGCTTCCCACAGTATGAGACCATGTACCAGCACTACTACTTCCAGGGCCTCAGCTACCCGGAGCAGGAGGGGCAGCCCCCGCCCAACCTGGCATCCCGGGGCCCAGCCCGTGCCTTCCCACCAGGCGGCAATAGCAGCCTGCTCTTCTCCACTGGGGCCAACCGGGGCCCCACCTCCCACCTGGAGAGCGGCAGCACGTCCAGCTTCAGCTGCTACCACGGCCACCGCTCAGTGTGCAGCGGCTACCTGGCCGATGGCCCGGGCAGTGACAGCAGCAGCAGCAGCAGCAGTTCTGGCCACTGCCACTGCTCCTCCCGGGACTCCGTGGTGGACTGCACCGAGGTCAGCAACCAGGGCGTGTATGGGAGCTGCTCCACCTTCCGCAGCTCCCTCAGCAGTGACTATGACCCCTTCATCTACCGCAGCCGGAGCCCCGGCCGCACGAGCGACACCGCTGGCGGCTTGGGCCAGGGGCTGGCCGTGCACCTTGAGGGCTCCCCACCGCCCGGTGCTGGCCCTGCCTCACCCTCAGGGGACCAGCTGTCCACCTGCAGCCTGGAGATGAACTACAGCAGCAGTTCCTCCCTGGAGCACAGGGGGCCCAATAGCTCTACCTCAGAAGTGGGGCTCGAGGCTTCTCCTGGGGCCATCCTAAACCTCAGGAGGACCTGGAAGGGGGGCCGGGAGGGGCTCACATGTGCCTGCTGCTGCGAGCCCCTGCCCTCTGCACTGGAGTCCGGAGTGGGTGCAGCCTCAGGCAGCACCTTGTTCCCGGGCACCCCCCTCTGTGAGGGCTGTGTCCCCTCGGGTGGGGAGTCACTTCCCAGAGGCTCCCAAGACCCAAACAGTCTACACCCAGCCCATTTGCCCCGAACAGAGGGAGTGAAGTCTGAGGGCCTGCCCTGCTGCATCTATGAAGAGAAGCAGGTGGCTCTTGACGGGGGTGGGGACAGGAGCAGCGGCTGCTACAGTGAGGATTATTCCGTGAGCGTACAGTACATGCTCACTGAGGAGCCCCCACCCAGCAGCCACCCAGGGGCCCAGGATTTGAGCCAGCGCATCCCCATCATCCCAGAAGATGTGGACTGTGATTTGGGCCTGCCTGAGGACAGCCCAGGGGTCCAGGTCAGCAGCCCTTTGGACAGGACACCTGGTCCAGACACCCCACTGCTCCAACAGGTCCCAGGCACCACCCAGGAAGGAAAGTCAGCTCGGGGCTACCCAGCGTGGGCACTACTGCACCCGGACTGCCCACCAGAGGAGAGAAGTATCCTCCTGGACCCTCGGGAATCTGAGGCCACCGACACTGAGGCTGCAGGTAAGAGGAGGTGACAGAAGCCAGGATAGACGCTGTCACAAGGTCCTTCTCTTTGGATGGTTATTTTCTAAGTGACTCCATTTGTGGCCCTGGCTTGAAGGACTGCCTATACCTGAGGACAATCCCATGGAATCCTCCACGCAGTCCTCTGCTCTCATGACAGCTCATCAGAGGTGCCGCATATGTATCCCAGCCTGCCGTGTCCCACAGCACCTTTGCCTCCCCCTTTCCCAGATCTCTCACACACACACCAAAGGCTCTGACCACAATCCCAGGCACTGTCCCTGCACATCACATCCCATGGCCTCCAGTCACCTCCACTGTGTCTCCATCTGTCTGGCAAGGACTCTATTTGCCCCCAGGCCATCATAGACAGCTTCTTTTTGTAAAATTATAATAAAAAGGAATTACTAAGAAAACAGCTTAACAAAAGACATGGAAAAATACAGTCTAAGTTTTTTTTAATTATTTTTTAAGGTTCAACTGACCATTGTCACATTACTATAGTTTCCAAATATTTTGTCTCAGGCCGTCAAAAAAGGTGCCGTGTAGCACCTTTGAGTAGCACTAAGGCAACTTTCACCTCCAAACTAGTTCCAAGAAAAAGCAAGTCCTCTGCCGGCCCTCAGCCCAGCCCCACTTCTCCCAGGTCTTCTGACTGGTCTCCTGTTAGTAGCCTTATCTTTTTCACTCCATGCTTTGTATGGGAACCAGAGTGATCATTTTTTGAAACGTAATCCATGTCTTTATGTTAGGAAACCCTTCAGTGCCTTGCCATGCAAACCTACTGCCGTCTAGTTGGTTCTGACTCCTAGTGACCCTATAGGACAGGGTGTCCAAGGCTGTCAATCTTTATGAACGCAGGCTGCCTCCTCTTAGAGCTGCTGGTGGGTTCAAACCACCGAACTTTCAGTTAGCAGCCCAATGATGAACCCTTTGCACAATGAGGGCCATGATCTTTAGCATTTTTAAAACCAAGTCTGTGTGATCTGCCTTCCCTTCCAACCACCTCCTGTTTTTCTAATTTCACCCCCTCGGCTTCTGTCCTTTTCCTCCAACATGTCATGTTTGCTCCAATCTTCAGACCTTCTCCACGCACCCTTACTACTTCCTGGGGCATTACCATCTGCAAATACTTCATTTCTCTTGTGATCTGTGAAGTCTATGATGGGGCCCCATCCACTGCTCTTCCAAGCCCTTGCCATAGTGCCTGGTACTTCTTCTGGTGCTTTGTGTTTCCATACTGCCCAATGATTCCCAGAAGGCTCTGCTCATCCAGATGATGGGGACCAGCTCTCTAGGAGACACCTATGTTCTAAACACAGAATCAGCCCTTCTCAGAAAAGGAGCTCTGCTTCCGCCCTGTACCCGCTCCGCTACACAGTGGGGGCAGGCTGTCTGGGAGCAGAGACTAAGGGCCAGTGGAAACCCGTGGGTGCCGACTGCCTCCCTTGACCTTTGTTCTCTGTCTCCCCAGGATCAGGATCTGGCCCAGCAGATGGCAGCGGCCTTGGAGCCTGAGCTCAGAAGGAACTCATATCTGGAAATGGGGGACTGTGTAGAGACTGCAGACTCTTGGCTGCCTTCAGCAACAACAATGAAAGAAAAACAAGTTTTTTTTAGCTTTGACAAACACACAAAAGTGGTAATAAAGAGAGCCCTCCTTCTCAACCCGAAATGTGAGCCACTTGTGGCAAAACCCCACCCCCATCCCTTCCCCATGAACAAACCAACAGACAAAATTCGGAGTCCTTTGCCTCTTTTGATAACATGTTATTCTTCTGTTTTTGTAAAGTGTGTGTGCTTGGGGTTCCGCGAGGTGTGTGGGAATACGTTCTCTGCATTGTTGGGGTTGTTTTTGTTTTAAATATTATATGTAAATGTACAAAGTTATTTAAATATATATTTTAAAGAACCCTAACCACCAACTTTTGCTGAAAAAGAAAGAAAAGAGAAAAAAAAAAAAAAACAACACTGCTGCATTAATTGAACCACATCGTGTACATACTGTTGTCTCCCCAGACGGAGGGAGCTCAGGCCTTTGAAAAGCTCAGGGCTACATCTGCCTTAGAAAATGAACCAGAAACTTGAAGTAAAGCTAGTTGATATGGGTACAAACTCTGAGGAATGATGCAATGCTGCCTCCTCCTCTCGTGCAGCAAATCCTACTGCCCAAAAGGTTCAGGCCTTCTCTGAAGCCATGTCCCTGCAGCTGGCACCTTTAGGCTGAGGGCCGAAATAGCTAAGATGAGGGCAGAAGTACTGAGGGAAGCCGGGATGGTTGAGGCGACAGGTTTTTCTGCCCACTGTCCTCAATCTCTTCGTACCTCGGGCCATCACAGTAAAACGACAGGGACCACAGTCATGGTAAGGGGGCTGGTCATAGGGCCAAGGGCTTGGGGGTTCCTCTGAAGTCTCTAACTGACCTAGGGCCTGAGGGCAGGGGCGTCTCCAGAGGCTTCCTTCTCAGTGGTCCTAACTTTGGACTCTTTTGCAAAAATATGTTGAGCTTCCAGCCAATGGTCGCAGAGATGGCGCGATGCCAGGGCAAACATCCAGGGGAAATGTAGTTTTGTGGCCTTGGTCTCTGGTGGGACGTGGGAGGTGCTCACACAAATTCAGCTTGTGCTCAGCAGGTGGAGAAAGGACTCTTGGCTCTGGGGTGAGCCTGTATGCGTATGAGTCTTGGGCACAGTCATGTCCCTTGGCTGCTGCTCCCTGGGGACACGTGCAGGGACCCCGAGGGGTCTGCACAGACATTATGTGGATAATGTTCCCACGGAAGCACCGCTGCTTCAGGGTGATTCAGCCCTCTGCATCACGGCTGAAATTCCTCATCTCACCTGGAAATGTCTACTATCCTGTCTACTTAATGCACTATTACATATTCATTCTCCAGGAGACCGAGAGAGACTATCACATAGTTTAGACCCAAAGGGTAGGTAGGGGTTTTCTTTGTATATTTTTCCAGCATCTTTTTTAATGGGGAGGGAAAGTTAAAAACCCAAACAGGTGTTTTTTTTTGGAGGGTGGAGGGAGATTGAAAAGACATTTCCATTTTAAAAGGGAAAGAGAATCTATTTAAAGCTATTTGAGATCAGGGATTGTTACCCTTTTTTTGTCCAATGTACTCCTTGTTCTTAAAAAATAATAATAAAATAAAAACTTTAAGAAAAAACTAATCGCATTAGCCCTTAGGTTCACTAACTCTTCTGGTCACTTGTATGTATGCATTCACTCAGCAGGGATTTGTTGCCAGCTGGACGAGTTTGACCCATTCGGTTTAAGCTCGTTTGCCGATTGGGAATGGTACAACCTGGCCCCACAGTGGGGTGACAGGGACCACCCTGGGTTGCTGGGAGACTGTGACTTCCTCTCCAGTCACGGTCCTGTGAAGTCAACACAGAGACCCATCACCTGTGCAGTCAGACCAGAAGGACTTGAATTAACACCCCACCGTATAGGAATCCTTTTATTTTCTTAATCCCAGCTTGTGATGAGGAATTTCCATCATTCTAGCCAGGATTTGACAGAAACGATAGCTCCCAATAATGGAGCCATTTGCCATACAGACACTTGCTGTGCTGAGAACTGACCTCCAGCTTAGGTGGCAAGGTCCCCTGGGGGCTGTTCCCTCTGGGCTGTGCCTGACACACCTGTTGGTAAGGGTGTGAGAAGCCCTGATCTGTTGACATGTGATCCAGCCGCCTTTATATCTTGGGCCAGGAGTAGCAGCTGTTGAGGACAACAGCTTGCATTACGTGTTTTGAGGGAAGAGGAATATGGCTTTTAACATGAACTGCAAAAAACAGCTTCTCATGGTTGAGATTTTTTTTTGTGTGTGTATGGTTGTTTTTTGTTTTTTAATGCCTTTGAGTGAATATTATCTTCCTTGTCTCAAATCATACTCCCAGAGTGGCTTTCTTTAGCCCTGGCTGGAAAACCACCCCTCAACAGACTTAAGTAATGTATAGGTGAGAAGAGAGTGTGGTTTCAACTGGACTTGTTAAAATCAATGCACCCAGTTTTTTTTTGAGAAAGAAAACTGCAGATGGCAAAAGAGGCACATTTCATTTTGTGTTTATGGAATGGTAGCCACGGGAGGGTGGAGGGGAGGGTGGATGGTATTTTAAAACCTTAAGTATCAGCAGGTTGTCTTTTAAGTTTGCCTCAGCTCATCAGACAGACAGGTGACCAGAATACAATGTAATACAATATTGCCTCATTTTTCATTTTCAAATCAAGATAAATGGCTCCTTCAAAGTTGCAGGACTCCAGTAGCGATGACAGCTTTGTTGGTGAACTCTTCAGCAGTGTTGCAGTTAGGGTGAAACCTGTGAGAGCCGGAACTCCATGGGTACTACCTTGATTTTTTCCGGTCTTACACAAGTTTTCCACCTTCAACAGTGTACAACCTTGCCATTTTTCTATCCCTCTCTAGTAATGGAAAATATGTTTTCCCTCTCTGACAGGTTTCGGCTTTCACAGGTTTTACTGTATATAACTGTGGAAGCTGGAAGAGGTCCCTCCTTTCACATGCTGAGGTGTGGGTGTTGGATGTGGTCCCACGGCCCAGCCCTTTAGGACAACCATGTCAGCTGAAGTGCTAGAACCAGTTAGAAGTGGGTATTTGGGTGTGCTAACGAGGTACCTCTGTATAGACACAGCTCCAGTGAGCTGACTTGAACTCTCTAAGTCCCTTTTCTCTAAACCCAAGCCATTTTATATAAAGCTCTGTCTGCTGCCCACAGCTCAGTCCCTTCCTTAACTGCTGCTAGTCTCTGCTGCAACTTCATGCAGGACTAATGCTTTGAAAATGATGTCTAATAAAAGAATTACTACTCAAGAGTATTATTCTTAGAACTGCCGTTTTCTGTTCTTTAATAACCTCTTTCATGTTGGTCTCACAAGGCACTATTTTAAATTGTTTTTGTTTTTGTTTTAATTTTCTCTCATAGCACTTAAAAGATATTTTGTAAAGACTTTGCTGTAAAACTTTTGTAATAAAATGGTCTAAGGGCTCTTTCTCCAACATTACCATTAAAAAAGAAACGTTTTAAAGGCTAGAATACAACTTATGTATATTCTGTATATGTATAGCAGCACATTTCATTTATGGAAATATGTTCTCAGAATATTTATTTACTAATATATTTATCTTAAGCCATGTCTTATGTTGAGAGTGTGACATTGTTGGAATAATCATTGAAAATTACTAACATGAGGCCTGTAAATACATGATAATTGCACACCGATTTTACATATTTGCCGACCAAAAATGATTTAAAACAAGTTGTAGTCTTCTATGGTTTTGTAACAAATTGTACAAATGACTGTTAAAAAAAAAAAATACAACTTTATCAAGTATGTGTTATTCATTGTCCTTACTGTGTTTGATACAGTAACTCTACGAAGCAGAAGTTTACATGGAAGCCATGACTTACATGGAGTCTGGTGTGGCGTTGTGGGTTAATGTGCCAGACGGCAAGGTCTGTTTGAATCGCAAGGTTGGTAGTTCAAGCTCACCAGCTGCTCCTTAGAAACCCTATAGAGGGTCGCTAGGAGTCGGAATCGACTCAATGGCATTTAACAACGACGATGACTTACATAACCCAACTTGCCCACTGAAACATCAATAAAAATTCCAGATTCTTGGGGACATGTGCTGGTGACACTAGTGAAGGTTTATTTTCTGCACATGGTAGCAGGTTTTCTGCTCAACACTGTGCGAAAGGAATGAAAATGGGAGTTGATGAGCAAGAGTTTTATAGTCACATTTTTTAAAAAAGGGAATTGAATTGTGTCCCTCTCCCAAAATAGTATGTGTTGGAATCCTAATCCCTATGCTTCTGGTATCATCCATTTGGAAATAGAGGTTTCTTTGTTATATTAATGAGGCCCTATTGGCTTGTTTCCTAAACGTGATGACTTTTGAGTACTAGAAACAACAGCATAGACACAGATGGAAGCTAGCACACACACGAATGGGAGGTAGGGGCTAAATACCGTGTAGAAACTTCCAAGGACTTGAGGAACTCCAGGATAGAGAAACAGAAAGGTCTTTCCCACAGAGATGACAGACTTTCCCTAGAGCCAGTGCCCTGAATTTGAATTGCTAGTCCTGATTACATACTGGGCTGCTGACCTGAGTCCACGAGGTGCTGCCCAGGAGAAAGATGAGGCTCTCTGCTCCCATAAAGATGTACAGCCTCAGAAACTCTATACAGGGTTGCTATGAATCAGAACCAACTCAATGGCACAAAGCAAGCCTACCTGCTGAACAGGAGAAAATTACTTTTTGCTCTTGGAAGTCACCCCACTTAGGGCATATCTCTTAGAGCAGCACTTAGGGAACTAAGACAGGAACATGTTATTCAGTGCTGAGAGGTCAGTTCTGACTCATAGTGACCCTCTATAGGATTTCCAAGGCTTTAAATCTCGGGAGCGGAAAGCTTCCTCTTTCTCAGAGCAGCTGGTGAGGTCACAGGCCAGTGTTTTTATCTTATGGAGACACAGCTTCATCTGCTGGGCCTTTTCCTGCCTGGGAAATGTGTGAGGCCCTCAAACACCTATAGATAAAAAGCAGTGTCTAAGCTCCAAGCAACCTGACATCGGGAGAGCCATCCTGGAGGGAGCTACTAACTTGTGAAGTAATCTGAGATCACACAGAAGGTGCAAAGTGGTGTTTATTTTTCAGACATCCAGCAGAGAATATCCGAATCCCTGAGCCCCATCCCTATTTCTCGCTCTTTAACTTGGGCCATTTCTTTGGTACGGGCTCCTCACTGACATGGGGCCGCTTCCTGCCCAGTGATGGATCCTTCTGAGCACCTTCGGGGATGGCAGCCTGACTGCACAGGGCCTCCCAGAGCCTCTGCTTAATGGTCTTGCCCAGCTCCAAGCTGTACCTCTTGGGGGTCCCTGAAGGGTTCCACAGCATTGGCTCAACCACAGCATGGTACAGAGCCTGGTAACCCTCTGTTGGGAGGCCGTGAATGGTGAGTGCGTCTTCTGACAACTGCTGTTTCTTTCTGGCTTCAGGAAGCAATGCCTGACCCTTCCAGGCTGCTCTCCCACTGTCCCAGGGTAGCACTTGGGTGACAGCCACATGTTCAGCATAGCTATCCTCAAGATCTTGGCCGATGGTTATTTTTTTCTCCTTTGAACTTTCTTTACTCTAGCCAGGAAGAAAGAAGAGAAGTTAAAGCCAATAACTCTAGAAGGGTGCTCAGAATAATTATCTGGGATTTGTGTCCCAGAGTCTTGGTTACACCAACAACCAACATATATCTAGTGTGTTCTTATGTATACCATGCATGTGTTGCCTGTAACCCTATAGTGTCAGCAGGACAGCTTTAAAGGTAAGGAAATTGAACTTCGTTTGCCCAAGGTCACACAGTGAAACGGTGAACAAGCACAGGTATCCTGCCATGCCACCATCCAAAGCATTTATTCTCTTCAAAAGCCCTTTACATGTATTCAATGCAAATCTTTCTAAAACCCTATTAAAGGTCACCCCCCCCCATTTTGTAAATGATAAAAATCAGTGCACAAAGAGGTTAAGCCCAAGGTCATCCTCAGTGGTAATGCTGAGATTTGGACCTTGGCTGGCCTCCATGGGGTGATGGAGCTGACTTCTCAGAGCAGACTTCTGGACACCAATCTTCTGCATGGAAGTTCGGACAGTTGTCACATCTAACTCTGTCGTACATGCATGCATGCACGTACATGTACCTTACTATGCCCTGAGCCCTGGTGTGGCGCTGTAGGAAAAGCACTGGCCTGCTAACTGCAAGGTTGGCAGTTCAAGCCCACCAACCATTCTCAGAAACTCTATTCAGGGTTGCTATGAGTCAGAGCAGACTCAGCAGCACACAATACCATATGCTTCTGTCTTTAACCTTCTTTCCCATCCTTTCCCTATTTTCCCTTCACTGCATGTTTTGTTTTGTCTTTTGTCTATGCTTCTGAAAGCCTCCTTATCCTTTTGTAGAAGTAAACGCAGATCTGGTGCTTTCTGTACTATATCAAGTCAGCCCAAGCAACACTCTACACCCCATCTTTAACTTCGGGATTCCCTTCTCTTAGTATTATATCTCTGAAGCTTTTGTCTTTAGTGTCCTCTAACTTCACCTTTTTCCTCTCCCCACCCTATCCCGTTATATCTACCTGGCTGATGCCCCCTGTGGGCCTCTTGCGCCTAGGTGAGACCAGCTGCTGCCCTGCTGGCCGCTTGCTCTTGAAACTGCTAGAATTTCTGATTCTACGCTGCTGGGTGGCCTTCATCACTGAATTGTCCTTGGGCTTCAATCTCTTCGAGGGTTTTGCTTCTTCAGACTTGTGCGGCATAGGACAGCATTGATCCTTCAGTTGTCGTCTGAGTACAAGCTTCACCAAGGAGAACGAACTGGCAATTAATGGATTCTTTACAACTTCCCAAGAAGAGGTGGTACCTGGTGCAGGGGCATGGGTGTTGTGCCTTGCACACTTTCTGGCAGTCCATATGTTGGTGAGAGCTGGTGAGTCTACATAACAGTCCTGAAGTCTGGTGTTCAGCAAGATGGACTGTCGGAGTCCATAGGTGGGGATGCTGAGGTCTCGTCTCACATAGATTGGATGCTAGAATTACAAAGGAGGGTGGGTGGGGAGAAAAAGCAGTAAAAACAGGCCAGTTCTTAAGCAGGGACTAAAGGACCTACTTTGGAAACATAGTATTAATTAAAGCCACATAGCTCTTAGAAATCTTGGTACACATCCTCTCTCCTCACCAAAACTTTTTTGGGCCAAGTAAGGACAAGATAATAACTTTACAAGATCATAGTGATGTATCCAGGGTCTAGGAGGACAAAGCATAGAAGGGCAGGAAGTTTGGGTCGGGCCGTACTTTAAGGAATGAACAGAAGCAATTCCTGTCTGCTGGAAAGATGAGGGAATTGGTGGCCAGAATCAGAGACATAGTCACTTAAGTTTCCTCTAAGCATTGTAGCCACCCCTCCAAGCTGCCACCCAGAAATGGCAGCAGATACAGTTCTGCCGAACACTGAATATACTTTCTAAACAAACAACCATAAACCAAGAAAAGCTGCTTAACAGGGAAATACACTCAGGGGTCCATAAAAGCCAGAAGTACAAGATAAATACTACTGGCCTCCATTTCCTGGAACCAGCCAAGAGCAAGAGAACAATCTGAATAGAAAAGAACCACACACTTAAAAAGAACTGACTTTCTAAATAATGGCAGCTATAAAAAAATAAAATCACCTTACCATGTTTCGGTTGCCTTAAATTTTATTTTAGCTAGCTTAGTAGGGGGAAGCAATATGTATTTTCCTTTTTCCTTTTTTTCTCTTTTGTTTTTGTTTATTTGGGGTTATTATTTTTTTTTTTTAATATATATTTCTAGTCACCTTTCTCTGCCTAGTCACGGAGGGACAAATTACAGTTTGTTTAGTTTGCACAGGCAGTTTTGAACCATTATCTCTAGTATTTGTGATGTCATTTTGGTTTGTGATGTGGATCTAGGTGGGTGTTACATCATCAGTTTTTATAGTTAAATTATGGTAGAAGAAATTCTATTTTGCTGTGCTTAATATTCCTGGAGCTTCTGAAGTCCTCATTTCCCACCCCAAAATAACTTAGGTGGATTTTGAAGATCTGAAATTCTGAGGCAGGAGCCCTGGTAGTATACATGGTTAAGCACTTGGCTGCTAACCAAAAGGTCGGTGGTTCAAACCCACCAGTGGCTCCACGAGCGAAAAGATCTGATCATTTGTTACCGTAAAGATTTACCTCCTCAGAAATCCTATGAGCTAATTCTATTCTGTCCTGTAGGAAGGATCACAGTGAATCAACACAACTAACTCTGAGTAGCATGCTGTGCTTCGAAACATCATCATGTGTGTAGGCCAGATTTGTGGATTACAGGTAGTGAAATGCATCCTTACATGTGTAAAAGTGCCCTTCTCCATGTCCATAAAGAAAATACTGTGAAATTCTCGGAAAAACTGCCCAAGTTAAGGACCATAAGCAAAAGGAACAGGTCCCTGCAACCCTGGACACCTCTCCCTGCATCTCTCTCCCCCAGGAGACAACACAGTTTCTGGAATGTGGTTTTACTTTGTATCCCATGGCAGATGCAGTAATTAGAGCTGTTCAGAGCGTCAAGAGCTTGAAACAAGAACAAAGACGCCTCTTCCTGGGAACTCTTGAGCAATGCCTCACTTCTTATCAGGTGTTTGTCCTGTTGGTGGTTTGGATTTTTCATACACAGAATGCCAGAAGAGGCTCTCTCCCTAGGGGGAGGAGGGCAAAAGAATGGAAAAATCTTGTCTGTGTCTGGCAGGAGCTCCTGGAATCGCATGTGTTGCCTGTTTGAATGTTTGAGTGTTGTCCCTGGAGTGAATCAAAGCCTGCAGGCAGACCGCACTGCCGGCCTGATGGCAGCTGGACCCACAGACGTTTCAGAGGACAATGGGACCCATTCAGCAGCGAGCCCTGGCCTCACCTCCCAAGAGGTGGGTCAGCTTTAGAGCAGGGCGGTGGAAAGGGTTTGTCTTTGGGAAGGGTTTGCGAATGTCTGGAGGCTGCGCAGGCAGGCGTGCTTTCAAAGCCAGCCAGTCTTGGAGAGGTGGCACCAGCCTACCTGTAAGTCACTGTCTGCCTTCACTCTGCATCACAGGGACAGAAAAGAAACAGCAAGAAAAGCATACGAAGAGGAGTCCTGCATTCTCTCCTTCCCTGTCATAAATTTTCTTTTCTGCACCTCCTCTTTCCAGACACTCTTCACTTGGGTTGATGTCCCTAAGCCTTTTACTCCCTGATACTGTTCTGGCTCTGAAGATCACTTGGAATCTTCTTCTAGCTCAGAGCTATCCATTTGGCAAACAAATGCTTTGGATTCAGTTGAATTCTGCCTTCTCTCCCTTTATGTAACTCACTTAAACTAACTGTGCTCCTATGGACCCTACCAAGTTACCTTGGCTTGTGCTATTTCTCCAAATCAATAAAATTGTTGTTGTTGTTAAGTGCTATCACATCAGTTCTGACTCATAGCAACCCTGTATGTTGTTGTTGTTAAGTACTGTGGAGTAGCTTCCGACTAATAGTGACCCTATATAGGGTTTCCGAAGGAGCTCTGGTAGCGTAGTGGTTATGACTCGGGCTGTGAACCGCAAGGTCAGCAGTTCGAAACTACCAGCTGCTCCGCGGGAGAAAGATGAGGCTTTCTACTCCCGTAAAGATTTACACCCTCGGAAACCCTGTACAGGGTCGCTATGAGTCGGTTCCGACTCCACGGCACATAACAACAACAACAACATAGGGTTTCCGAGGCTGTAAATCTTTACGGGGGCAGAAAGCCTCATCTTTCTCGCGTGGAACCGCTGGTAGTTTTGAACTGCCGACCTTGATTGAGGTTAGCAGCCCGATTCGTAACCACTACTCTACCAGAGGGTTTCCAAAAATCACCAGATGGGTTTGAACTACCAACCTTGCAGTTCCAAGTCCTGTGCTGATTCTACATTGCCACACCAGAAATCCCATATCAATAAAATTAGTGAATATTTATTGAATCCTTACTATATGCCAAAAACACTTCTAGGCACTTTGTACGCATCATTTCACGAAAAGCTATCAACAGTTCTATGAGTTTGGGTATTGCTTCCATTCTTACTTTGTTGTTGTTGTTATGTGCCGTGGAGTCGGTTCCGACTCATAGTGACCCTGTACAGGGTTTCCGAGACTGTTAATCTTTACGGGAGCAGAACGCCTCATCTTTCTCCCGCAGAGCAGCTGGTAGTTTCGAACTACTGACCTTGCGGTTCGCAGCCCAATTCGTAACCACTACAGATTGCTCAAGAACTGTGTCCTTAACCAAGGTCTACACCACCCTTGATCGTAACCACTCTGCAAACCATCACTGTGATGTTCTGTCCCTTGTCTGATAGCCCAACCAAATATCACATCTGGGACCAACTCTAGTCCTATCTTTGCATGAGACTTTCTCTGGACTTAGGAGTTGTTCTGCCAGAGTTTGCATCTCAGACCCATCATTCCATGGGCAAGTTAGTTCACTGTCTTCACTTCCTCATCTGTGAAATGGGCATAGTAATAGCGCTTCTCTCAGGCTTATGGTGAGGATAAAATGGGATAATGCATGTAATACACTTGGCATGGCTCTTGGCACATAGTAAGTGCTCGATAAATAATATTCTTATTAACACTATTAATATTATGGCCAATTCATTCATCTGGTCCTACTTGAGTGTTACTCTCTTACTTTACTGTAACACATGGTCTGAGTAATACAGCTTAACATTTGATTAGACCTTCATTTCAAGTTGTACATGTGCATCCATTTGATTTATGAGAACAATGAGCCCCTTGAAGAACTTGGATATCACGGCACCACTGTTCTCATGCTACATCTTCAGTAAATATTTGTCAACTCAATCAACGTCACAAAAGTAGTGTTTACAGAAGATGTGTTTCTTCCAGCTGTGGGAGTCACATAGAATATTCCATGTTTCATTCAAAGGAAAGAGATGTGGGTATCTGAGAATATGCTAAGGAAAGTGGCTAGTCTTTAAAAGAGATTGTTCCATTGAGGGTTGTTCAGGACTATCAAGTCAAGATGGAAAGAATCTATTTGGTTCAGGGTCCTGAAACCAGGACAAGAATTTCCACTGTTGGTGCCAACAATTGATCTAGACAATTTGGAATTGAGGCAGGAGTGTTTCCATGTTGCTGAAAGACCTGATTCTCAGTTGGATTATCCCATGAAGCTTTTAAAACTCTGAGTTCAATCTAAATAATCATATTCCCACCCATCATTTTGAACTGGGCTTCCTGACATATCTAAACCACCATTTCTATTTGGAAACACATCTGCCCTTCTTTGATGCTTAGCCAAGTTCTTCTCACTGTATTTTTAGTTCCTATAATCTTTCTTTTTTTCCTGTCTTCCTGTACCTTTCTTCTCTTTAGTTTCTCTTTGTTTTTGTTTTTTTCTGGAGTATCAGCTAATGAAGAAGAAATTGAACCAAGGTATATTAATTCTCCTCTTCCCCCTTTATGACCACCCCAAAATTCTAGTGGAATTTCATTGGTTTTTATTTCCTCAAAAGAGGTTTTTATTTGAGTACCCAAGCAATGAACTTCCACACCCAGACGGGATTATATCTGAGGTTCATGAGGCAGAAGGCATAGGGGAGAAAAGCAAAGCTTTAGATAGGAGAGAATGTGAAGATTCCTGAACCACACTGCAAGTTTTAAGTTTTAATGATCTAGACCACAAGTACTGAATGTGCACCCATCACAGACCAAGTGGGCGTTATAATGGTACCTGCTGTCCCAAACCTCTCACCTGACCCTTGGTGTGGAAGACTCCCACTTCCTTGTTCCCAACCCAAACCACCTCTGAGTTCTCAGATATGGCTACTAGAGTGCCCTGACAAATCCAAGAAAACCTTATCTGTTGACATTGAGTCAAGCCTGGCTTTTGGTTACTCCATATATTGTTGTTGTTGTTGTTATGTGCCGTAGAGTCGGTTCCGACGCATAGTGACCCTGTATAGGTTTCCAAGGCTGTAAATCTTTACGGGAGCAGAAAGCCTCATCTTTCTCCTGCGGAGCAGCTGGTAGTTTCAAACTGCTGACCTTGTGGTTCACAGCTCGATTCATACCCACTATGCTACCAGAACTCCTTACTCCATATATTACAAAGTAGAAATGTTTCATAGGATTTTCTTGGTTGTGTGTGTTCAAACTGACAGTCTTTAGGTTAGTAGTTGGGCACAGACCATTTGACCCACCCAGGGACCTTTTAGATGACCTGCAGATAGATACCTTTAACTCATTATGTTCAAGACCAAATTCTTTCTCTCTCCTTACCCCATCAGAAGAAGCAAACTGCTGTTGCTCTTCAATTTTGCATCACTGGTTGCCTGAGCCAGAAATCAGGTAACAGTGCTATTCCAATTCATACTGAAGGTTAGGAGAAAGGAAAATTTAGTCACACAAAACCTGTCTTTATTGGAAATTTTAATATTTTGTTCATCATGGATTTTTTCGCATTATTTAGATGTTTTTTAAATTGACCTAAGAATCATGTAAGATTAACCATTTTTGAGTGTACAACTCAGTGGCATGCATTACATTCATAACAGTGTACAACCATCACTTCTATCTAGTTCCAGAACATTCTTATCACCCAAAAAGGAAATGCCATACCCATTAACCAGTCACTCCCCATTTCTCACTTCCCTCCATTCCCTGGCAACCGCTTCATCTGCTTTCTGTCTCTATGTATTTGCTTATTCTAGATATTTCATGTAACTGGAATCATACAATGCGTGGCCTTTTTGTGTTGGACTTCGTTCACTCAACATAATGCTTTCCAGATTCATGCTCATTGTAGCATGTATCAGTACTTCAATAATTTTTATGGCTGAAAATATTCCATTGTAGATGCTACATGTTGTTTATCCACAGTTGGGTTGTTTCTACCTTTTGGCTACTAATTGTAGTTCTTCTATGAACAGTTAGATTTTTAAGATACCTCATTAAAATATTATTTGATTACTGATGTGTGTGTTTTGTGTGTATGTTTTAAGGAGTCCCTGGGTGGTGTAAATGGTTAAGCTCATGACTACTAGCCAAAGGTTGGTGGTTTGAATCCACCCATAAGTACCTTTTGAACACAGAGTTGGCAATCTACTTCCAAATGATGACAGTCTTAAAAACCCTATGGAGCAGTTCTACTCTGCACACATGGGGGGGGTCACCATGAGGCCAAATCAACTCAATGGAAACTAACAACAACACCTGAGATTTTGGGGATTCCATTAAACTGTGCACCTGAGATAAATGAGTCACTAGATTCGCCCTGGTCCCGGGCCTGGATGATCAGAAAGTATTTGTTGAGAGATGTCTATAAGAACAAGGAGATAATTTAACATTGTGCTTAAGAGTATAGGCCTGGAGTCCTATTGCCTAGATTCAAAGCCCAGTTCCACTACTGTGTGACCTTTGGGCAGGCAACAGACTAAGCCTGTCTGTATAAGTTGGGTGGTAACAGTGCCTCCTTACAGGACTACAGTGAAGAGTGTGTGAACTATGACAACAAACACCTAAGCACTTGCCTGTTGTTATCGTTGTTGTGTGCCATTGAGTCAGTTCTGGCTTATAGTGATCTTGTATAGACCCTGTGTAAGGAGCTCTGGTAGCGTAGTGGTTACGAATCGGGCTGCGAACTGCAAGGTCAGCACTTCGAAACTACCAGCTGTTCCGCGGGAGAAAGATGAGGCTTTCTGCCCCCGTAAAGATTTACAGCCTCGGAAACCCTGTACAGAGTCACTATGAGTTGGTACCGACTCCACGGCACATAAAAACAACAACATAGACCCTGTATAGAGTTTCTGAGGCTGTAAATCTTTATAGGGGTAGTGGCTGGTAGATTTGAACTGCTGACCTTGCAGTTACATGTAGCTCACTACACTTCTAGGGCTCAACTAAGCACCTGTCTAGTGCTTAGTAGAAGTCCTGGCATGGTGCTGTAGGACAAACATTGGAATGCTAACTGTAAGGTCAGTGGTTCTAACCCAGAAGCCACTCCTCAGAAACCCTACACAGGGTCACGATGAGTTGGGGTCAATTTGATGGCACCTGGTGTTGCACTGTGGGTTAATGCACCAGACTGCAAAGCCATTTGAACTGCAAGGTCGGCAGTTCAAGCTCACCAGTTACTCCTCGGAAACCCAATACAAGGTCACTATGAGTCAGAACCATCTCAACGGCACTTAACGACAATAACAACAACAGTGCTAAGTAGGAGCATGGTGGCTCTGCAGGATAAGCACTGGACTGCAAAACACAAGGTAGGTGGTTCCAGTCCACCAGCCAGCTGCTCCTCAGGATAAAGATGAAACATTTGCTCCCACAAGGAGTTATAGCCTCAAAAATCTTATACAGGGTCCCTCTGAGTCAGCGCTATGGGAGCTATGAGTCAGACCAACTTGAAGTAACTTTACAACAACAATGCTTAGAAAATGCTCTGTACCTGTTTGCCATTGTTTCTATAATTAGATAACACTGTCATTGGAGCAGAAAAGATCCCACCTAGAATGACCCAACTCCACCAACTTGGGTGTCCCAGCTTCTCTGCAAATTCTACTGCCTGACCACAGAGCACAAGCAGACAGACACCAACATCTTCCTGGAGGCCCCAGAGCTGTGTCCTCACTCTTTCCATGAAATAAAGCCACTCAATGCCCCAGGTATGTAAAGCATTGAAATCAGTATCTCGGACTGCTCCTCACCAGAGGCCAGGGCCACATAACTGAGCACAGGACCTGAGCCATTAAACACTGTGACCTAGAGCTGCCCAGCTGTATTTTTAGCTTCTTGTGCACTGTTTCCGTCACCTGTGCTGAGCTTTAAGCTGGAAAGGAGAAGGTGGGGGTAGCGGGGAGCTGGAGGGATGTTCCTTAGAGCAGCCAGCCGGGGCAGGAGCTGTAACGCTGTCTATTTCTGAATTCTCTTGTCCTTAGGGAAATATCTTGTCCTTCTGGAGCTAGTCACACAGGTCCCCATACTAAGAAGGATGCTCTGCTGTCACCATCTGAAATTCTGAACAGTCTCCACAAGGGGTTCCAGAATTTCAGGGTTCTGCAAATTATACAGGCAGTCCTTGGTTGTACACAGGGTTGGAGCCAGTCAAATAAAGACAGGGTGTCTTCCTTCCTACAGGGAGCCAGGCCAGGCCACTATTAAGTGTGGGTGTGGTCTGCAGGGAAGCCTAGCACTGGAAAACCCAGATTTGGCTAAAGATACATTTGAGTCCTGGTGTGGCGCTGTGGGTTAATGGGCTAGACTGCAAGGTCGGTTTGAACTGCAAGGATGGTGGTTCAAGCCCACCAGCCACACCTTGGAACCGACCAGATGTCATTTAACAACAACAACGTTGTCTCCAAGCCTCATCTCCTAGTTCCCCTGGACACCCTCCTCCCCGCCCCCCCCCCCCACAGAAACCATGGTGAGATGGGAGAGACCCTGCAAACTGTACAAATTGTAAAGGGCTATGTTGGATTTTGTTAGAATCTTTCTGGAACATCCTATGTCAATGGCCCATAGATTCTTCTTTATCAATACCACCATTTTGTTTGAAAAACCTTTTCCTCTCTGAAGTTCTTTTTTTTTTTTTCAAGTTGGTTGACTGTCTCTTTTCCTTCCCCCCATTAGAATGTAAATTCCATAAATTAAGAAATGGGCTAGTGTTTTGTTTTTGGTGGGAGGTGGGGGGTGTTGACAGGAGGTGGCATGCACCTCTTTGAATATTTGTTGAATGAAAGCAAAAAACAGTTGCTGTAGACTTTACTCATGGCAGCTTCAGGTATATATCCCAGTAGAATTGTGCTCCAAAGGGTTTTCAATGACTGATTTTTCAGTGGTAGACCACCAGGTTCATCCAGATGTGCCTCTGGACGAACTCGAACCTTCAACCTTTCAGTTAGCAGCTGGTGTTAACCCTCTGCACCATGCAAAGATTCCTGAATTTAGGAAGGGTCACCTCTATTGATGACCGCTGCATTTCATTTTCTTTCAAGATGCTCCTGAAGATTTTCAGGTCTGTCGCAGATGGATCCAAAACGGTGGAGAAAAGAGGATGACAGAGTGGGAGACACCAAGGTGGAATGTTGGAGGAGGGTCTCTGCGAGGAGAGAGCTGCACAGTGCTCTAGCAAGGAGTCCATCAGATTCTGGGACCGAGGAGCCGAAGAGTGAAAACAATGACTGAACAAGATCTTTCTTGCAGTGGTGCTGGGACATGTGGGTGGAGAGGGATGGAGATTGAGAGGCCTCGTGGGAGGTAGCTGCGCCCGAGGGGCTGCAGGATGGAGTGGAATGGAGGGGAGTGGCTGGGGAAGGAGAGGGGCACAAGTGTCATCCAAGGTGGGCAGGGAGCCTTGGGTCCCCAGACGTCCGGCGCTGCTCTAGGAGTGGCAAGTCAGAGCACGAGGCCAGATGCTGCCGCCGCAGCGCAGGGCGCAAGCCCGCACTTGCAGCCTGGGACCCAGTGCTTGAAAGTGCCCAGCTCACCGCCCAGACCTGCCCGGTAGGGCGTCACCGCCGCGCTTTAGGCGGGAGCCAAGGAAAATCCCCTCTGCCTCAGGGATGCGGGGGAAGGGGAGGCCCGGGACCTGATCCCGAGGATTGACCCCAGGTGGGGCCAGGGAAGACCTCGCAGGGAGGAGACGGGAAGGCCCGACACGTGGGCCGCGAATTTGAGCCAGCCACGCGCTCCAAACTCGTGTTCTAGAATCTAAGACAAGGAACTCATCTTAAAGCCATCGTCCCATTCTTTCCCTGACTTTACTTGCTTCTGTCATCAGATGCTGGGAAGTCCTTTAATCATTCCCATTTTACAAAAGGCTGAGACTCGGCACCAGTTGGCACAGTTTGTGAGAGACGAAACGGCTTTGTGGCTGCAAATATTGAGGTGGAAAAAATAACCTAGCTCGTCAAGCACTTTGCGGGCACTTTGCTAAATACAGAAGCGGTTCAGAGAGCTTCTTTTCCGTTAAACTTGCCCAAGTTGTCCCAGGGGAAACCAAGTGGGCTCCGAACCCGTCAGGTTGACACTAGAGCACCCTGGGTTTTTTTTTTCATCACTGTGACGAGCCAAGCAGGGAAATGCGGTTTGAAACTGCTGTTCTCATTATTACTGCTGTGGTTGAGCCCGAGTGGGTCACGACCCGTGTGAAGGAGGAGCAAGGGTTACTGAGCGCCCAGCACGAACCAGCCCAGCCAAACCCAGGCGTGGGGACTCAGTGGCAGGCCCCTGACCCCGCCCTCACCTGCTGGTCCCACCCCTCGAACGGACCAATGGGAGCGCCGAGGGGAGCGCCCAGGTGCGGACTTAGGAGGGGCCCAGTCGTGACTGGCAGGAGCGGAGAGCGGGTGGGCGGGTCGAGCATGCGCAATGAGACCCGCCCGCAGGCCTTGTGGCCAAGTCGGGCGGGCCCCCGGCTGCCAGGGCAGTTGCGGAGCTGAAGAGGCGGGCTAGGGCGGGGCGGCTGGCGGCCGAGGCGGGGCTACGCTCGGGATCCGCGTCCCGCTCCCATGGCCGCCCCCGGCTCCCTGCGCTGCCCCCTCTCCCCCGGGCCGCGCCCCTGGGCCCCGCACTGACGGCCCATGGCGCCGCCCGCCGCCCGCCTCGCCTTGCTCTCCGCTGCAGCGCTCACGCTGGCGGCCCGGCCCGCGCCCGGACCCGGTGAGTGAGCGCCCCTGGCGCGGAGCCTGTCAGGGGGCCCGGACCCCCAGCCTCAGGGTCTCCCGGAAATCTCCCCAAGTCCTTCAGCGACTCCCCTCGAGCCAGGACCCCCAGCTCCAGGACTTCCTGGGGTCCCTTTCACAAGCCCCTTAGCGATACCACCTGGGTCCGGGACCCCTATCCCTGGACCTCGCGGGGTCCCCTCCACAAGTCCTTCAGCTACGGCTCCTCAGTCCGGGGTGGCCCCCACTTAAGCGGCAGGGGATAGGGGTGGGTATTGCCCAAGGTGGGCAAGCCCCAAGCCCTTCAGTGATGCCTCTGGGCCGGTCCCCTTTCCTACGACCCCTAGCCACGCGCTCGCACCTCAGCCTTCTCAGACCCCATGCCCCTAGCGCAGGAGCGAGTGCAGAGATTGGGAAGCGGCACCCTTCTTTTCTGTTGGCTGCTCCCGCTTGGCCCCAGCTGACCTCTACCTCTCGGCAGCCAAGCCCACCTGCCCTGCTGACTTGAATTCCCCCTCCCCCCGCCCCGCCCCCTTACCCTCACCCTCACCCAGCAGGGTCTCCCACCCTCCCTTCCGGGCCGTTTTGAACTTCTTGGTGACTCAGGTGATGGCCCAATAGGGAGGAAGGGGAGAAGGGAAGTTTCTCTCAGACAGATGTAGGGGTGCTCGTCCTAAGGGTAGTAGCTCTACATTGTCCCACCCGCTGCCCAGGCCAAGGGCAAGGCCAGGTCTTGCTGTGATGGGGCCCTGGACCAGGATGGAAGCTGGGACTTCGCTGAGCTTCCACACACACCCTTCCTCTCAGCAGAATCCTTTCCAAGTTGAAGAGTAGGCAGGAGGGCGTAGTCTGGCCCAGTCGGCTTGCTGTTTGGGTGTTGCACATTGGGCATTCGCTAAAGGGATGGGAAGTGTTCTTTACCAGTCTGCTCTGCTAGGAAAACCGGCCTCTGGGAGTGAAAAAGCTAGGACCTCAGCTCTCTGAGCCTCAGTTTCCTCATGTATAGTAGGGGGAGAATAACGATGCCTGCCTTGCAGGGAATTGGGAGGATTGAATGATTTACTGAAGGGAATGCTCCCACATCTAAAAGGCACACAATAAACATCTTTTAATAATACTTTTAATAGCGCTGCACAGTTCACCAAGTGCTAGACACCTCATTTGCCCTGGGAATGTTATAAGCTTCCAGTCTGATTAATGTCTATAAAAAGTAAAGCTTGGCTTTAGATCAATGCAAGGTGTGGGTTAGGGTGTCTCCAAATGCTGTCACTGTAAGGCACAGTAAGTGGTTTCTGAGTGATTGCCAGCCACCTATGGGACTTTTTTGTTGTTTGATCACTTCTGCTGTTTGCTGTCCGTGAGGGACATTCTGAGAGCTAGACTATGTCAACATAACTGTAACCTAGTAACCCCTTAGCTCCACTTTACCATCTGTGTGGTCAGGATGGTGTGGTGCTGTGGGTTATTGCACTAGGCCCAAAGCCATTTGAAATGCAAGGTCGGTGGTTCAAGTTCAGCAGCATCTCCTTGGAAACCCTATACAGGATCGCTATGGGTTGGAACCGACTTGACGACACTTAACAACAACAACACACAGAGAGAGGTATGGGTGGAAATAAATTGGTTCCTCTATTGGAAAAGGCAGAATAATACCATTGAAAAGCAGTAACTGACCCAACTCCATGATCATAATTGTTAGAAGGCGGCTGGCACCTTTGCTTTGCTGGAAAGGGACAAACTCAGCTCTTATATAGTTTGAAGCCCGTGCTTTGGTGTACTTTTATTTCGAATCATGATTTTGACTTCTGGTGACCCCATGTGTGCATGGTAGAATGGCTTCATAGAATTTTCAAGGCTGTGCTCTTTCAGAAGCAGATTGCCAGACCTGTCTTCCATGACACTTCTGGGTAGGTTCGAACCACCAATCTTTATTTAGGCTGGTAGTTGAGTGCTTAACTGTTTGTACCACCCCCAGGACTCTTGTGAAATGACTTGTGACAAGTGACCCAAGTTCTCAATTCAGTGAGCCTCAAAAGCTTGGTTTCTTACCATCTTGGTACATCAGTGTCTTTCTGACTTTTTTTCTCTCTGGTTACAGAATGAGTTTTAGGGAGCTACCACATGGTCTTCAGCAGCACATCCTGTCTAGAGCCTACCCACTAATTTTTTAAATCCTTTCCAATAAAAAACACGTTTGACTGTGAGGATATGCCAAGCTCACCATTTTATATTTTTCGATACTGTAATTTTCTCAAAAAATGTGTGGATGGAAAAAATTATTTCAATACTTACATTCTGCACAACTTTATAATACCTAAATTACTAGTGGTTTACATTTTGGAAAGCCGATTTTATAAATACAGTTAGCTCATTCCCCATCAATGCTCCTTGGCATTACAATATGTTGTTGTTAAGTGTCATCAAGTTGGTTCCGACCCATAGTGACCCTGTATAGGGTTTTCAAGGAGCGGCTAGTGAACTTGAACTGCCAACCTTGAGGTTCAAGCCGATTTTGCAGTCCAGAGCATTAACCCACAGAGCCACACCAGGACCAAATTATCTCCCTTTCCTAGTCCATTTTTCCTTTGATTCTTTCCCTTCCTTCATGACTGACAAGAAGCAAGATAGAGGTTACTGGGAGAATCTAGACTCTCATTTCAAGGAGCAAAACTGCCTGGGCCATAGGACTGATGGGCTCTCCTTAGTAGATCCCATCTGGAATTTACTGATCTGCAGGGGAGAGAGAGGGGAGGGTAGGAAGAACAGAGTAAGCTAGGTGGGCTTCAACCACTTGAGTTCTTTCTGCTCCTGTGTATGGCTTTGAGAGCCATCAAGTATTCATCAATAGGGTCCTTGACTCAGGTTACAGTTTCTGTAAAATACTCTTTATAGTTGACACATATTCTCTTCCAACTCCTCATCTGGAATTCCTCCCATTAACCTGTAGTGTGCCTTACCATCAGGAGCTCTGGTAGCATAGTGGTTATGAATGGGGCTGCTAACCTCAGCGACAGCAGTTTGAAACTACCAGCTGTTCTGTAGGAGAAAGATGCAGCTTTCTGCTCCCGTAAAGATTTACAGCCTCGGAAACCCTGTACAGGGTTGCTATGAATCGAAACCGACTCCACAGCACATAACTACCATGCCTTACCATAAAACCTAGTAGTTCAGTTAGCAGTGAGATTTTTGTACTCTAACAAAGTCCTGCCCCTCTTGGGGACACTGCTAATAAACCTGTCTACAAAGTTGGTGCTGAGAAGAGAGAACCAACAGATGAGGGGGCTTCAAAAAATTCATAGAAAGATGTAATTAAACAATAATATGGAATTTTCCCCTGAGGCTCCCCTCCCCATTTTTTTGTACACACTGCCCATGAACTTTGTAAAGCTCCCTCAGATACATTGGTTAGGGACCGCTGGTGACACTGTAGGATAGACACTGGACTGCTAACTATAAGGTCAGCATAGGCTTTCTGCCTTCCTACAGATTTATAGCGTCAGCAACCCTATGCAGGGTTGTTATGAGTCGGAACTGACTTGACAACACCTAACAGCAACAACAGCATATTGGTTAATTTTATATTTGACTTGGTATCAAAGAACTCTGATTCTATTGTAAAATTTTGTTTTGACCCCTAGACGACACTATTTAAATGTTTGAGATGTGCAATGAGCCCTTTTATAAATCCTAGTCCTGGTGTGGCACTGTAGCATAAGGTATAGGATAATAGGTTCAAACCCACCAGCTGCTCCTCAGAAACACTACACAGGTTCACTGCGAGTTGGAACTGACTCCACAGCACTTAACAACAACAAAACAATAAGGAATTCCAGTTAGGCTTCCCACCAGTAAATAACAAGTTAGTACACTTGTTGTTGGTAAGTGCTCTTGAGTCAGTTCCAACTAATAGAGACCAGGTGTAGGGTTTCTAAGGAGCAACTGGTGAGTTTGAATAGCCAGCCTTGTGGTTCAAACCGACTTTGCAGTTCAATGCTTATGCTATAGTACCACACCAGGACTCTATACTCATTATAGGTAGATATTATTGGTATACTTTCATGGCTTAGCATAGTTGAGTGAGAAACAGTTAGTGTTTAAGATAAAATATATTACTTAAATAGCTTCATAATATACAGAGTAAGGAGTTTTGGTGCTGGACATCTTTAGGATTTTTGAGCTCAGAACCCTGTCTGAGGCCTAAGGTCAGCAAACATTTTCTGTAAAGGCCCAGATAGTAAATTTGAGGACCACATACCTTCCCTGTTGTAATTACTCATAGCTGTTGTAGCACAAAACAGCTATAGACAAAAAGTGAATAAAAGGCATGGCTGTGTTCCAATAAAACTTTATGGACACAGAAATTTGAATTTGATGTCATTTTCACAGGTCACAAAAATATCTGTATTCTAATTATTTTTTCAGCCATTAAAAAATACCACGGGCTAGACAAAAACAGATTTGTGTCCCAAGCTGGACTTTGCCAACCTCTGCTTTAGGCCAGATGTACTGATTTTTTTTTTTTTTCCGTGTCCATTGGTTTGGAAAGGGGACAGGCATACCTGATTTGGGTGATGAATGAACCTTTTACCTTTCATTGTGAACGAATTTTAAAGATATGGCCTGGTGGTACAATGGATTAAACACAAACCTGCTAACCTCAAGATCAGCAGTTCAAACCCAGCAGCTGCTCCATGGGTGAAAGATAAGGCTGTCTGCTCCTAAAGATTTACAATCTCGGAAGCTTTAGGGAGCAATTTTACTCTGTCCTCATAGGGTGTGGCACTGTAGGTTAAGCACTCGACTGTCGGTTTGAACCACAAGGTCGGCAGTTCAAACTTACCAGCAGCTCCTCAGAAACCTTATACAGGTTCGCTATGAGTCAAAACCCACTTAATGGCACTTCACAACAACAGTAGGGTCG